ACATATTAAGTGAACTGCGCAATGTTTTTTTTTCTACAAAGTTATTCGCGAGGGTTTTATTTTGTTGTTAGCTGCTGTTGTTGTTGGCGCTATTTGTGAGGGGTCAACGACTCCTCACAAACCTCTAAAGCTGGCTCGAAGATTTAATTTTCAGGCATACTGCTCTCTGAAACGAGAAAAAACGGTGGCTCAGCAAACCAGATGGACGTGACGAGCTCTTCAACGTCACATCCTCGAGACATTATATCCGCTGGGCTTAATTTCGTAGAGACGTGTCGTCAAATTGCTTTCTCCGACCACTCTTGGATCTCCGCTACTCGGTTCGAGAGAAAAACCGACAACAACTAAGGATGGTATTTGATTCAATGTAGGGTGATCTCGGAGTCAGTCTATATGACAAGTCTGTTTATTGGGCCATTAATTAGTTGCCTTAAACTATTAAAAAGATCCGGTAAAAGGTGAGCTGCTCACAGTTCAAGGCTACGCAAAGTGTTCGTCCTAAGGGGTGCTACTTTTGATTTGGCTGTCAGTAATGAAACCCTCAGCAGTTTAACTCCGAATGTATATGCATGCTCCATTAGATCCCATGGAAGAGTCAGCGAAAAGGTGTATCTCAATCGGGACTTGAGTTTAACGGCATAATAGCGCTATCAGATGCGGTCTCTGGTCAATTTCACTTTGCCACTTCGAAGCCTGCCTCGTGCAAAACCGCACGAAAGCTTTCCAGGTTCTCATCGCAATTGGAGCCGGTAAAAAAAACCACTCCTTACTTGGCTGAGATGATTTAAGGCCGCGACGTATTGGTGCGTAATGAAATAATGTGGACCAATTTTATCATCAAAAGTATACATGTGGCCAATTGATCCATGTTCCTCCATTAAATCCAGATATATTTTCTTTACAGAAAGATTTTTGAACAATCTCCCTTTGAAGCGGCAAAAATCTACGATTCCCATTTATTTTTTGATTTCCCTGAACTTCCCCTCACCCCTGAAAAGAACCCTCGATTTATCGTCATTGCTTCCAAATCCACCAAACCGCTATCAGAATAATCTTGCTTCGCAGTCCACCGGGCTATTAAGCATATCAGCAAAGAAATCTCTACGATCTCTACTCTACGTGATGGCAATCTGCTTCTTCTGGTTAACTCCCGTGAAGTCGCCGATAAGTTCACTAAGATTCAATCTTTGCCTGGCATAGCTGAGGTTAAGATCAAGCTTCAGCAATCCCTCGCACTCGCATTTTTTGTGCAAACTGTAGCGGCGATCATCCAGCCTCCTCTCCAACATGCCCAAAATATCAATCCCAGAGAAAACTTCTCTGCATCAAAACAAGCAAGAAATGCAGCTTCCGCGAAGCCCGTAATATTTTACATTAAAAAACAATAACAACGCATCGACTACCTTCGCTACAGTCGCCAGCGCAGCAAGCCCTCCGTCCACAGCCGACCGAACCCAAAATACGATACCTACGAAAACAACAACAAACACATTAACTCCGAAGCCCGATAGTGTAACCAACACGACCTCTCCCACGAACATGCCAATCTCATCTCTTTCAAATTCATACAAAGCTTCTCTCTCCACTGCACCCGACACACAAGACCCAAGCTCTTTAATCATCCGACTTTGATTCATCAATGGAAACTTTGGATTCATAGTCATAGTTCATAGTGATTTATTTTAATATATGCCAATTAAAACATTACAATGGAATATAAACGAAATTTTTAACAATTATCATGAACTTTCTATATTAATAAATGAACAATCCCCTGACATTTTATGATTACAAGTAACAAACCTGCCCTGTAACTTTATGAACTTTGTCTGCCCCAAGGGCTACATTGGTTATTTCCACAATTTACCGCAGAACATCAGTGCTAAGCAAGGCGTTGGTATTCTTATCAAACAAAACCTCCCCCACTCACACCAAAATATCGACTCTAATATTCTCTGCTCTGTTTTGAAGCTTAATGTAAGCATTGGCATACAGATTGTCAATGCTTACATTCCTCCAAATCAAAGTTTTACAACATCTGACTTATCCGCCATTCTCGATAGTGATAGACACCCTTACATAGTTCTAGGGGACTTCAACTCGTGGAGCCCTCTATGGGGCTCTAGTCAGTCAAACACTAGAAGTAAAAAAATCGAGAAATTAATATGGGAACAAGATCTGATTGTCCTCAACAATTGATCTCCCACACATCTATCCACCCCACAATTCCTTACCCACGTTGACCTTTCCTTGATTACCCCGCAGATAGCACACAGGTGCAGTTGGTCAATCTTATCCAACCTTCACGGTAGTGATCACTTCCCCATATCTATTGATTTATCCATACATTTTAACACCTCCCCTACCCCTCCCCTACCTAAATTTAAAATAGATCTAGCCAATTGGGATGCATATAGATCTATGTGCGAAAGAAGAGCGTTAGATTGGAAGTCAGGTTGTTTAAACCACCAAGTTGCACAAATAACAAAAGCGATTAGGTCAGCAGCTAACTGCAGTATTCCACAAACCCAACGGGTTGTGCGTGGTGGGATTACAACCTTCAGAGGCTTCAAAATGAAAAGCAACAGCTGTTCGCAGTTTATAAGGCCAGAATGTCCGACACCAACTTGATAAATTATAAAAGAGCCAATGCAGTTTTTAAAAAATCTGTACTTGTGGCCAAAAGGACTTGTCTTGAAAATTTCACCTCCAGGATATCCCCTTTATCGTCTTCCAAAAAGTTTGGTCCAACGTAAAGAGGCTGGCCGGCGTACCACCACAGCCGTTTCGATTTTTAAAGTGCGATTCAGGTGTCGTAACAGGTTCTGAGGATATCGCAGAAGAGTTCGGGCATCTTTGGTCAAACTATTCGGCTGACAGTAACTTTTCAGCCGAATACGTACACCAAAAAGACGCCTATTTATCGCAGTCCTATCTTCTGACAGCTCTGTCATCACCTGCCAAATGCTTAGAAAAAAACTTCACATTAGCCGAAATCGCATATGCATTAGCCGGATCAAAGGGTAAAACCCCAGGGGCTGACCGGATATCCTACCAAATGCTTAAGGTAATGCCACTCTCCCTTAAATCCCTTATACAATCAAATTTTTAACTCCGGAAAATACCCACACAGTTGGAGATCAGCCACTGTCATCCCAATTCCCAAACCAAATAAACCTCCGGCAGAAATCAACAGCTACCGCTCCATTTCCCTCCTATCCTGTCTAGGAAAAACTATAGAAAAAATGATTGCCCGCCGACTTATGTGGTTCATCACCCGAAATAACCTGATCTCGCAGAACCAAGTTGCGTTTAAACAAAAGCATAGCACTATGGACGCCTTGTTGCGTATTCAACACTTCGCGTCAAATGCTCTTTCCATGAAAAATCACGTTTCTATATTAGCCTTCGATCGCGTGGGGATTCAAGCCGTACTTAGTCAGCTTGAGCGCTGGGGTGTTGGTCCAAGACTTTATAATCTTATAAAGGCCTTCATGACCAATCGTTCCTTCAGAGTTCGCGTAAACAACAACACCTCCAACACCCACAGTCTCTGTAACGGCATACCGCAAGGCACCCCCTTTCAGTAGTTCTTTTTATTATCGCTTTTGATAAACTTAATTGTATTTTAAGTAGATATAAGGACATTCAACTCTCAATATACGCAGATGACGCTATTATTTTTTCCAAATTAAAAAATGTAAATATTGTTAAAAATAAATTTGTAGATGTATTAAGTGAAATAGATGCCTGGGGAGCCATTTCGGGTGCGTCCCTAGCCATTGAAAAATGTAAATTACTCCATATTTTCCGCAAACACAGATGCACTCTCTCCCACATTTACTTTAAAAATAAAAGAATAGAAAATGTTAAAAGTTTAACAATTTTGGGCTTAACCTTCGATACCAAACTCCTATTTGATCAGCATTGTATTAAACTAAGAAAACAACTCGAGTCTAGATTTAACATTATAAACTTTTTGTCATCCAAAAACATTAACATCCATATTAATACACTAATAGGAATTACTCGTGCCCTGATGCTCTCCAAAATAGATAACGGTCAACCAGTTTACGGATGGTGTGCAAAATCACACCTAAACAAGTTGGAGGCTCCATACCATGGTGCAATCCGACGTGCTATAAACGCTTTTCCTACCTCACCTACCTCATGCATTTTGGCTGAGTTGGGCCTACCGAGAAATGACCATGCAGCTCATTTGCAAAATGCATTTAACAAAAAATGCTCTACTAAGGAAGGATTTCTCCGCCATGTTCAAGCAAAAACGGAATTACAAAGTCATATCAACGCTTAGGCGGTGTGCCAGCTTCACAACGCAGCTGAATTCCAGACCCGCTTTCGATGCCTACAAGAAAAACTCGGCACAAAATCTTGGCTATACACCGATGGATCAAAAACATGACGACGACACTACCTTTGCTGTTGTTGACCCCCATACAACTCCATCTTTACTGCGGAAGCCTTCGCCATATTACAAGCCTGCCTCTTTGCCACCAAACACTCGGGACACTTTGTAATCTGTACCGATAGCCTTTCCACCTTACCTTCTTTATGGTTGTTTTCAGACTAACAAAGGGTCATTGTAGGAGGGATTCCCTGGCAAAGCGAACACCAACACTGAGAACGTTTCCAGCTTTCAGCGTCCACTGAGACAAGCAGTAAAATGAACAGCTTCTTCTTTCAAATATAGCGGTTCTTCTCGTTTTTATTAAAATAAATAGCTTCTCATAAAAAGGGAGACATGGCTATATCGTCTTAATCTTTAAATATACAGCACACTTACAATCCCTTTGACTGTACGATTAACTTAATAACTTTCGTTTACATTTGCAAACGTGAAAGATTGCCTTTAAAATACATCAACTTAATTTTTTTGTGGTATATTTATATCATACTTAAAAAAATATTAGTTTGCGGTAACATGGTATTATGGATTTCTAATGCTTCAATAAAGGGCATTTGCAGAGTTCTCAATTTCCATTCGATTTGGATTTATTTGATCCAACTACACTCACCGGTTGCTTTAATCCAGCTACGCTTCCGTTACCCGAGTTCAAGCACTAAACACTTATATCGTTTTCGTCATTGCAATGTCCAACTTTTGAACATGAACTGTAGGTGGTTGAATTACTGCTTAAATTAATAACATGGTCGAAGTCGAACAAAGCTGGCTCCACTTCCAGGGCGTAAGTTGATTCTTGGCGGAGAAGCTGAAAAGCCGAGTCTCTGGTAGATTCCTTCCTTCACAAAAATTTCTCTGCCTGGGCACCTTGGAAAGCGGGCATGTTCAACATTCGTCCGCCTTCGTGTCGGGCACACCCGTGCAACACCCGTGTTAAATAAAATAAATAAATAAATGCTCCTATCTCATACGAAGCCAAATTTCCGTTGTTGCTATCGAAAGGCTCGCAGTTCGTTAAATCTTATGTGTCATAAAAAAGCAACCAGCGATTAAAAACACTTTCATAAGCCGCGGAGTTAAAGGTTTAAAGTTAGACAACTAAAATCGATGACTAAGGTACTAAAGAGCTAGAAAATTGGGACTAAATGTATATATGTATTATTGAGATGCCAGCACATCTCTATGTGGTATTATTTTTTGACCACGTTTTTTCTTACGACCACCAACCGCGAATGAACGGCAGCCACATTTTCTAAAAGCGCTAAGGGATTAATCATATGGATTCAACTGTACCATATTACTACTTTCTATCGATAGACCAACAAAATTTCTAATTGGAACAATATTTCACAATTTATTAAGAAATATTGGTTAAAAAGCATTACGTGGGCAATGACGCCACCCTTAGCTTTTAAAGATTTTTTTGACGACAGGTGACACTTCGTCAATTTTTATTTTATTTTATTTTTATTTTAATTTTATTTTAAAATTTTGTAAGACAGTATATTCTGGCTACTGTAAAGTTGCGTCCTCTTGTATTCAGTTTAAAAAAGGGTCATTGTAGGCGGGGTTCCCAGGCAAAGCAAACTCCAACAGATAACTCCCCAAAAACGTTTAATTGCTGGATCAGGTTAATTTGTAACAATGTGTAAATAACGTCCCGCGTTAGATTCACAACGTACGTTCTGTAACGTTTACCAACTCAGACTGCTCTGCCTTCTTCTCCGCTCTCGCTCTCGTGCTCCCTCTCATCGTCCCAAAATGCGTGAGCGATCAGCTCCTAGCTTCCAGCTTCCACTGGAACAAGTAGTAAACTTAACATGCCGCCCGCCAATGCTAGACATAACATGAGAAACCTTCGCTTGTCCTGTCTATTCTAGCGGTGAGTGGGGCATAATAATATAATATCATGGGAAAGTAAAACAAGAAGTGTGTGCAAGAAACGATTTAATTATTAAAGAGGTGGGTAAGTGACAGCGCCTAAGAAGGTATTGACAGTGGACAATGTTCCAACACTGAACGTTTCATCTGGCCTTGCTAGGTTTTGAGCGTTACAGCCCGGACCAACGCATCCGTCCCTGGGCGTAACTTGACGACTTAAACCAGTAGCCATTGTGACGGCGGGAATCGGTCGTCCTTGACAATTACGAGATTGGGCCTCTGTGGTAAATGTGCCAGACCCGACTCCATACCTTCCAGAAATGGCCTACCCTGGATTGCTTGATAGGAAAGTGCCCTGCAAAGGACTTGGACTGCGGACGTTCTTTCTTGGCTACGTTTTGTTGATTTTCCTTTGACTGGTTCAAATCAGCAATCAGACCTCTTTCTTGTGGAGGTCCTTGGTCAATGATGGTCTTCTTCTATGGGCACCTCTTTCATTTCCCCCTTCCTGGCTTGCTCATGGGTTTTCTCTGAGCCTTCGGAAAGTTCACCGCTTGGTGCAATATGTGCAATATCTATCTTCTTATTAGTGATTTACATCCGGAGCTTTAGCTGTTCCTGTCAGACTGGAGAGCAGCAAGGCGGAAACCTTGGGACCTTCCTCCATGGTGAAGACCCAGTCATTGGAATGCCCTTGAACATCACGTTGATTTTATCTCCAACCGAGTATTTGGAAATAGGGGCGGAGGTTTCCTGAAGTGCTGTCTTGATCTGTGCCTTTTCGTTGCTGGGAGCCTTCGCCTCGAGTGGACACCGTAAGACCCACTGCGTGATCGGTAGCGTGTTTCACATGTGAACGAAATATGTCTACCATCTTAACCGATTGCTTGTCCTTGGTGAGCTGGCCACTGAAGTAGACGACATCCCTTTCCGACGCTTAAAAGCGGTCATTTACTCACGGAATTCAGAATTTTTATTTATGTTTGCAATTGCAGATTCCCCTCAAGGACCACCTTGAAGTTGTGACCCGTTGTTTTCAGACTAACAAAGGGTCATTGTAGGAGGGATTCCCTGGCAAAGCGAACACCAACAGATAAATTCCTAAAAACGTGTAATTGCTAGATCAGGTTAATTTGTAACAATGTGTAAATAACGTCCCGCGTTAGAGTCACGACATGCGTTCTGTTACGTTTACTGAAGCCGAATGCCCTGCCCTCTTCTCCGCTCTCGTTCCCGTAATCCCACTCACCGACCCAAAATGCGAGAACGTTTCCAGCTTTCAGCGTCCACTGAGACAAGCAGTAAAATGAACAGCTTCTTCTTTCAAATATAGCGGTTCTTCTCGTTTTTATTAAAATAAATAGCTTCTCATAAAAAGGGAGACATGGCTATATCGTCTTAATCTTTAAATATACAGCACACTTACAATCCCTTTGACTGTACGATTAACTTAATAACTTTCGTTTACATTTGCAAACATGAAAGATTGCCTTTAAAATACATCAACTTAATTTTTTTGTGGTATATTTATATCATACTTAAAAAAATATTAGTTTGCGGTAACATGGTATTATGGATTTCTAATGCTTCAATAAAGGCCATTTGCAGAGTTCTTAATTTCCATTCGATTTGGATTTATTTGATCCAACTACACTCACCGGTTGCTTTAATCCAGCTACGCTTCCGTTACCCGAGTTCAAGCACTAAACACTTATATCGTTTTCGTCATTGCAATGTCCAACTTTTGAACATGAACTGTAGGTGGTTGAATTACTGCTTAAATTAATAACATGGTCGAAGTCGAACAAAGCTGGCTCCACTTCCAGGGCGTAAGTTGATTCTTGGCGGAGAAGCTGAAAAGCCGAGTCTCTGGTAGATTCCTCAATAGTAAGCTGCTCTACAACCGAAATATCATCTATCAATTTCATTTCGCAGGGGCTGTAAACTTTATTGGTGACCCCACCTACGATGCTCGGACATAGATTGGTTCGAGCATATTTACCCTCAGAGATATTCACACCACGTACGTGGCTGGACATTTTGATCGTGGCCCTTGAAATTGTACTGAGTATGAGAGCAATTCCAAGAAATAGGCACGTCCAAAAGCATAGGGAATTGACTAAAGGCAAAATATTTAAGTAGAAATTGAACCGTGAATCCAGTGAGTCTGGCAGCTTTGGCATCATCTATAATAAGTAATTCATTTAAGAGAACCTTTCATGAACGGATGAGTACTTACGATCTCAAACCACAACATTGGCGCTGTGAGATGACTGAACTTGGAGACTGCCGGAAAATTACTTAGGTCTTTAAAATGCATGTTGATTTGCATTTTAACGGATAGCGATAGCGGCAAGCCGGATTCCTAAAAATTAGAAAAATACTGTTCTTAACGAGGTTAAAAGAAAAATTCTTTTACGAAATCAAATGTATATATAATAAATTTGTGATCTGTGATTACATAACAGAATTTACCGGTTGAATCACAAACGCCGATGAGTGCTTGGTTTGATCAGGATTTAATCCGGTTATGTTTTGTTGCAGGCCCAAGTCACCGTTCATAAAATGTGGGAAGCTTAAAGATATTGGGAATCCGTAGTAGCAGTCAGTGACGTCGATTAATCCAACCGGCTGACAGTTTCCTGTATAGAATGGTGAAAGGTGAGAACTGTAGTATGCACATATATTGAATACCCACTGTACCGAGAGTACTTAAAGGGTGCGCACTGTAACACTTTGTTGCAGTGTTTACATAATCCAAAGTCCCGGTCATAAACCCTAAGTGGCCGAAATACGAACCGATCGTTTTGGCTTAGCCCGCACACAGTGCTAGTGTCAGCATAATCGTAACAAACGGTCAGCATATGCATACCCCTCGCGCCTCCACTTGAGAGCGCATAACAACGTATATTATTATATTCCTTTATACATAAGTACATAGCCGTCTCTCTGCCGCCGCCTGCGAGCAGCGCAGCTACGAGACTTAGCCTTACTTAGACTTAAGAAATATTGTAAAAGAACAGAGACATTTTGATCGTTGGAGCGGCACCTCAGCTGCTCCTTCAAAATAAAAACCAACCAAACTTAACCCTTGGGTATAGTCCTTTATCACATGGCGACCGTGACAGGACTGGAAGGACATCATGAACATGAAAAATAAATCGACAAAAAAAAATCTGAGTGAGTAGAGTGAAAGCAATGGGCAATCGCGGAGGAGTTGCGAAAAAAATAAAAAAAAAGAGTAGCACACCTAAAGTGGCTACTCTACGTAAACATTCCACCTCCCGCGTGGGCTACAGCCCGAAAACTTCATCCAGAACTAGAATTTCTGAAAAAAAATTAATGAGTAACAAAAATAAATGCCCGAAAATTGCCGCCACTCACTCAGTACCGATAAGGAAAATTAATGAAAAAATAATAACAAAACCTCCATCACCCAAGCCATTACCGAAACTAAAATATGACGTGCCCGAAGGATTGCCCCGGACCACTGGACAGCCCCCACTGCAACCACACCTGTGCGAGGACCGGCACCGGTAACGCCTGAGTCCAAAAGGCCCCGGATAGCAGCAGCAGAAAATAGAGTGCGGGAATACGCCACCTCCTGCGCCACCGAGGGAACGTCAGCGTAGCCAAACCGGCAACGACCAGCTGACGTGGAAAAAAAAGGAAATCAACTGAGCAGAAAACTTTTTTTTTAACATATGCACTGCGTTGCATAATTTTTTTGATTGCACTGCGATGCATATTTTTTTTATATAATATAATATTTTTTGAAAAATTGAGCGGAACCTCTTTTGCCCAATTTGAAAGTATGGCCCGTATAGCTGTACAAATAATAGGTAGGAAAAGATGTTAGATAAAAACTCAGATTAAAAAAAAAAATTTTAATTTAATGAAAAGTAATAGCATAAGTAAAACAGATCAAATAAATGAATGAATATAAATGAATATTACATCCCAGAAAAATTAAGTAACATTACAAAATATGACTCAGAGAAAAATAAAATAGAAATTGAAAAAATAAAAATATATACAACATCTAAAATGGGTTTAGTAGACACAAAAGTTGTAGATTCCACGGCAAATGTCGTTAATAAAATTTAATCCGAAAAAATCGATCTTTAAACAATTACAATATTGTTAATGATAATCGTTGTTATAATGTTAGCAAGCGTATTGCTAAAATTATATAAATTACACAACAAATGTTTAAAGAAAAAATTCCAGAGTCAAGCGAATGACCTGGACAAAATCTAAAATAAAAAACCCAGAAAAAACAAAAATTATTATACACAAATGTAAACACCTAAAATCTAAGAAAATGAAATAACAGAAAATAAATATTAAAATATATTACGTAATTCTCTTTACAAAAGTATGGCTAAACTAAAGGCATGAATTGGAACAAATTGTACGAGGAGTTATCAATAATTAAAAATAATTTTGACAGATCGTACAAGTCTCTAACTCAGAATAGACCCATTCAAAAGAACACGGTTAGGAAGCACGTTGAAATATTAGTAGAGTGCTTTAATGAAGCGCGTATGCTAATACATGATCATAGGGAAAGATTAAATCAAGATCATTGGTCAAAGGTATCGAAACTTTTAATACGACTACGATCTAATTTAATATTTATTAAACAAAAGTTCAGTTTAGAAATATCATTACCAACCGTTCTAAGCACTCCAATAGCAGTTGACACTGCACCTGACTCGGAATCAAAAGAAACGAACGGATCTGAGTCAGAAGAGCTTCCCAAAGTAAACCCCAAAATAGAAAATGAAGATTTGAATAATCTTACTATTCCGGCGGTATACACTGATCTGAATATCTAAGCTTATACCACTTTTTGATGGTAAGGCTGAAAATTTAACAAGTTTCATTGATGCTTTACAAATAATTCAATCAATAAAAGGCGAGCACGAAGAATTAGCTATTTCCATTATTAAAACAAAGCTAAAAGGTGTCGCCAGGAATCTAATCGGTAATGAAACAACAATTACTGAGGTAATTGCCAGACTAAGAAGCAACGTCAAAGGCGAAACTGTTGAGGTATTATCAGCGAAGCTGATGAATCTACAGCAGCGCAATAAAACTGCTAACCAATATACACAAGAAATTGAGCAGATGACGAAAGCCTTAGTAGGTGCATATATATCAGATGGTTTATCTTTAGAGCTTGCCAGGAATTATTCCATGCAGCATGCAGTCAAAGCAATGACTAAAAACTGCACAATCGATAAGGTAAAACTTATCATGCAAGCTGGCACATTCAGTACTATGAACGAAGCCGTTTCCAAATTTGTTAATAGTTGCACTGAAGCAACTGGGCAGTCAAACACTGTCCTATATTATAAGAATTATCCACAGCGCGGCTCAAATCGCGGACGTGGCAGTTATAGGGGTAGTTTTCGTGGTAATCACAATAACTACAACAACGGTAATTATAACAACAATTATCAGAATAACAATAGAGGGCGAGGCCCATATAGAGGAAACTATAGAGGCAGTGGTAACTCGAACCGAGACCACAATAGCAATAACCAAGGCAATGTAAGAATGACGCAATATAATAACCAAAACACATCGGAAAACTCCCAAAACCCTTTAAATATTCAACAATAAATGAAGTGAGAGTTCACACCATTAATCTCAGCCAAAATATATTCGTTTCATTTTTTAATGCAGCTACTGGGAAAGAATTTATATTTTTAATAGACACAGGTGCAGACATTTCCATTCTAAAAGAAAGTTCGGATAATTTCCAAAACATCCAAAATGATTACATCATAGACATAAAAGTCATAAGTCAAGAAATAATAAAATCCAAATGTATAGTTTTTATAGAGATACAGACCACCAATTACATAATTCCACACGATTTTCATATCCTAAATTCACATTTCCCAATTCCATGCGATGGAATAATAGGCATCGACTTTATCAACAAATACAACTGTCAATAAGATTTCAAGCCATCTGAAGATTGGCTTATAATTAGACCCAATAATTTAAAATTCCCAATTAAAGTACCAATAGCTCATAGTTCTGGCAATAATTCAATACTTCTGCCAGCAAGATTCCAAGTTATTCGGAAAGTTGAACTTAATTCAAAAGCAGACAGTGTATTAATTCCAAATCAGGAAATTCAACATGGTATTTACGTTGCAAATACAATAGCAACATCCAATAATGCCTTCATAAGACTATTAAACACAACAAATATCGACCAAGTAGTCAGAACAGATAACATAACATATGAATCACTTTCGAACTACGATGTAGTCAACACAAATCCAGACAATAGAAAAAATCCGTAATATCACAACTGTCAAAAAACTTCCCTCCACAGTTCAAGTCTCAGCTTACTAGCCTATGCACCCAGTATAGCGATATATTCGGATTGGAAACCGAATCAATAACCACAAATAATTTTCAAAAACAGAAACTGAGATTAAAAGATGATGAACCAGTATATATAAAGAACTATCGAAGCCCACATAGTCAGGTGAACGAAATACAAAAACAAATAGAAAAAGTAATCTCAGACGGGATTGTCGAACCGTCAGAATCCGAGTATAATAGCCCATTGTTACTTGTTCCTAAGAAATCCTACCCCGGATCAAATGCAAAGAAATGTCGATTAGTAATTGACTATCGCCAGATTAATAAAAAATTACTATCTGATAAATTCCCATTACCTAGAATTGACGATATTTTAGACCAACTAGGTCGAGCAAAATACTTTTCATGTCTCGACTTAATGTCAGGATTCCATCAAATTGAACTAGAAAAAGGTTCAAGAGATATAACGTCTTTTTCAACGAGCAACGGCTCATATCGCTTCACGCGATTACCCTTCGGATTAAAAATAGCTCCTAATTCGTTTCAGAGAATGCATGAAGTGACTTTTCTAGGTCATAAATGCACTGATAAAGGAATACATCCAGATGACAAGAAATACGATGTCATTATGAACTGCCCAGTTCCGCACGACGCGGACAGTGCTAGACGTTTTGTAGCATTCTGTAACTATTATAGACGTTTTATAAAAAATTTCGCCGACTATTCACGGCACATAACAAGATTATGTAAAAAGAATGTTCCTTTTAAATGGACGGATGAGTGTGAAAATGCATTCCAATACTTAAAAACAAAACTTATGGAACCTACCTTGCTACAATATCCAGATTTCACTAAAGAATTCTGTATAATAACAGATGCAAGTAAGCAAGCATGTGGAGCGGTTTTAACTCAAAATCATAATGGTCTCCAACTTCCCATTGCATACGCATCAAGAGCATTTACAAAAGGTGAAAATAACAATTGTACTACTGAGCAGGAATTAGCTGCAATTCACTGGGCGATATTACATTTCAGACCATATATATATGGAACGCATTTTTTAATAAGAATAGACCATAGACCTTTAATATACCTTTTCTCAATGACCAATCCCAGTTCTAAACTGACACGTATGAGGCTCGAACTAGAAGAATACGACTTTGCAGTCGAATATTTAAAGGGAAAAGATAATCATGTAGCTGATGTGTTATCAAGAATAACCATCAAAGATCTACAAAATATAAATAGAAATGTATTAAAAGTCATTACTAGATATCAAAGTAGACAAAAATTCCGCGCGGAAAATAAAGAA